AGCTTCTAAGGAGAGGAAGGAAACTCCTTGAAGGTTGTGAAATGTATTTCATTTGCTTTCTCTTATATGAAATGAATATTATATTATCTCAACTTATATAAGTGGCATGGTTGGTAGTTGGTACTATTTCTGCAATTTTCTTTTATAAATTTGATTTTGAGAATGAACTAATCAAAATTTTATAAATTGAATCAATAAAAAGAATCTTTTTTTTTTTTTTCGCATAACTAAACTTGAGATGATTTTGCCGGATAATCGGTTTATCTTCTTCAAACGACATCTCCTATAAAGCCTTGGCAAGCGCATATTTCATTCTTTATAGTATCAAAATCGAAACCAATTGTCCCGAAACTCTCAATCTCAAAAACTCGTAAGAACAGAGGCGACATCAAGTTGGAAAATAGAAAACTGTAGGTTAAAACTCCACATAAATTTAAAAGTTTACAAAATTATTACGACACAAACAAATAAAACTTATAAAATCCGGCAAAAATAGAAATATTTTCGGTTATTCAACTTTTTTACTAGAGTTGAAACCTTTTAGCTAAAAAAGAAGTACCCAAGCCCAAGTCGTGGGAATAAGCTCTTTTTTTGGCCTAATATCAAATCGTTGATTTAAAATAAATAAAGGTTTTAACTTTTAACAAGAGAATTATTCAAGATTATTTTAAGCATCAAATGATTTACTATTTTATCCAAGAAAAACAAACACGTCACAATAGTATCTAGGTCAAGGATAAGATAATCACGTCTCGACAGAGACCTCAGTCACTCATGTCGACGCAAGATCACAAGAATCGCTCGAAAACAACAAGATTATTCTTGTCTTCCACACTCTCTCTAAGAACCCAAGCTATTCAAGGTCTCTTCTCAAATCATCTTCTTGTCTCGAAAATTTTCAATCTATTCTTGGATTAGTTATCTATGTTTATGCATTGCTGCGATCGGTTGATGTTCATGTGAATGTGCGATTCATGTGCATCAACAAGAAGGATAAACTGGTGCTCGATAAACTTACCCAACCCTTTTTAATAGACACATCAGAATATATGAGACCACACGATTTTTAGAGAATCAGAATATCTAAGACTACACGATTTTATTTTATAGCTTTTAGTTTTTACATTAATCCCCTAAAATTTAACCCCTTGAAAACGCATAAGAAATAAAGATAAAATAATTTTTATATATATATATATATACTAGGGATTTGTAATGATACATTGTGGGATAATTTGTTGTTTAAAATTTGTAATGATTAAAATTTTATAATTATGTAATATATATAAAAGTTTACAAACTATATTTGTAATGTTTTTTAACTTTATATATTATAGGATGATTTAAAACAATTAAAAATCAAATAAAAATGAGAAGAGGATCATAATTTTTATTCTTAACCAAATCTTCTAATATCTATATTATTAATTATGGAATATTATATGGATATCTAAGGCAATGTCTGACTGGAAGATTTCCGGTCAAAATCGACCCGACCCACCAATGGCATTGTTTGTAAATACTTTTGAAGGCTAAGGTTTTTTCTAAAAATGTATTTCAAAAATGTATATATAGAAAGATATATACAATCCGCAAAGGAGAAGAGTGCAAAATCGCATTCTTTGATTGATTGATGCTATTAGAAGGTATGACTCCTCGGGTTACTAATGCATTGCAATGAACCAGGAACACACTCGTTCGATAACTAATGAAGAAATTCATTTAGTATTAAGGGAGAGAGTACACCATGAGCTGATAGGATGTCGGGTTATTTCTTTCAAGCTTACTGGAATATCGTTGGACCTAACTAATGAAGAAATTCATTTAGTATTAAGTTACCAGTGAAATGCAACAGTTTTTTCACCATGGTCTCTTCCCTTTTGAATGGAACTTCACACATATTTGTCTACTCTCTCAATAAATCAGAGTTTATCTGAAACTCTGAATAATCAAGAAACTTTAGCTATTGGTTTTGGAACTAAAATCACAGGAATAGGCACAGTAAAACTAAATGAGTTTCTTATATCGAACAATGTTCTATACATCCCAGATTTCAGGCTTAATCTTTTGAGCATTAGACCAAAGATTTGGGTTATAGAGTAACGTTTGATCAATATTCTTTTATGATACATGATCATACCAAAGGATTAATGATTGGAAAGGGTGATCAAATATCTAATCTTTACGTCCTCGATGTTCACTCTATCATACAACATTCTTTTTTTTTTTTTTGGTCAAACATCATACAACCTTCTAATCAACAAATTTCTTACTCTACAAAAACATAACAAAATAATGTGTTTTTCATTTTTATTTCTTAGGTAAGTAGACGTTAAACTATGTAAAATAGGTATTAGATGAACTGTTTTTCTGACCAAAGAAAACAAAAAATGAATTATCTTCTTTCTTTGTTTTTATTTTATCATGTATATCTTAATAAAAAAAAAAATCGTCGTTTGGTCAGAATTCCTAGCTAAAACTTGAAGGAGAAAAAAACATTAGTGATAATGTTGATATGAAGCCATGCGAGCATTATGCATCTTGAACAAAACCGTTTCACTCCGCTCTCTATCTCTCTATCATAACACAAGAAGACCTACAAGCATCATCATTGAATTAACCAGAACTCCAGAAGTCGATAAAAAATAAGGCAATGATTTTATTTTCCTTTCAAGTAATCATTTTCACCTCTTCATAGGTCTATTGGGACTCTCAAGCCATCATGAGCGAGTTTTACTGAAATCCCTTCCCTAACAAACCAAAACATTGCAGCAAATAAGATTACTCAATCTCTTTCTATCTATAAATTCTTCAGGGAGATGATGTAATTACGAGTTTTCCTTAGTTTTCTACCTTTTAGACCATTCTTCAAGAAACTCGTTGTCCTTGTGATGCTCAAACTCGTGAGTCATTCCGATTAGAAGAGCCCTTTTTGGACTCAGTCTTTTGATTGTGTCTAATGTCTACAGAAAACAAAAGTAAGCATACATAAACCATAAACGAAAAACCACACTTTCAAATTATGCTAACCTGCGGGAAACATAAGTGGGTGTTGTGGGATCCTGTCTGCAGTTGCGGTAAAGAAAAGAAAGATAAACGATGTGAGAACATAAGCTCACATTTAACATAAACATTCAAACTTTAATGCATGAAGATGATTTGTGTTACCTTATACAATGTATCCAAGATAAGGAGATCCAATTGTCCACCACCAGATTTTGATATAGCTGTTAAATCCAAAGGCTACAAAGTATGACACATCTTCTTCGAATATCCCAAAATGCAGACCCACTAAGCAATTTGTTAGACTTACCATACTCGGTGTTTGGAGGAAACCGTGATACATCGGATATATACGCCACTCTTGATTTTTCACCAAAAAGGAAACCAAGACATACATAGTCTTCTCCATGCATCACCTACGGCACAAATGAGATTGAGTCGCCACATAGATCAGCAGAGAGGCGTGATTCACTATTTCTACAGAGGCTTTGAGAAACTTACTGGAAGTGGCGTGAATGATAAACCTGAAGCTACAAATGGCTTCTCACAATCTTCTTCAATTATTCTCCAATCCAGCTGTGCTACTCGCCTAACTTCTTGGCCTTCTTTAAGTTTCTTCTGAACCAAATACGGGAACTTCACAGCAAGGCTGTTTTCAGAAAAAAAAACATGTGATTGTTGAAACTAGAGCTTCAGAGCCTAAAAGGTCAAATTAAAATTTCCAAAGACCATGACGATGTTTTTACCTGTCCATAGCGTATTGGCTTACAAAAATTGGAGTAGGATCAATATCATTAGTAGGACTAAATGGTTGCACTGAACGTATATCATCCAGGCCAAGTACTGCATCAGCATGTTCATGAGTCAAAATTATCTGCAATTCATGCAAAAATTAATCCTCATATGCACTGAGAGCTTCAGATAGAGATAGGAAAACTCGAATAGTAACCGAAAGATTTAAAATTTGCTTTCATGTTAGCTTTCTACATATCTCGGGCATGTTAATACAGCAATCATAAAAGGATATCTCAATGGGAAGAATGTAGATCAATAATACTATATCATGAGGACTTACAGAATCAACTTGAGGAATCTTGTGAAGAGTAAACCAACGAAGGACTTGTTCCCTGAAAGTCTTGCCAACATCGATTTGAATGTATTTATGTTTGCCATCAATTTGGCAATAATCAATGAGCAGTGAAGTATTCCCCCTGCCAAAAGTACAAAATCTCTTGCAATGAAAACTAGTCTACAAGCAAACTCAGCTATAAGATGGATCTAATCAAGCTCCACACACAAATCTTAAAAGCTTCATAGGATTAGTAAGTGATCCCAAATCTCAATCCCAATCTTATGGAAATCGAAATTAGTTCAATGTTCGTTCATATACAAAAACATCAATTAAGTATCTTCCCATTAAAAATTTACCAATGCATCATAGAATCACGAAAGAAAAAAAACCCAAAATAAAATCTCAACACTCGAAAATCTCAGACTCGCAGTGCAATCACCAGAGAATCAAATTAGTAAAAGACAAGAATTGTACCTGTAATTAGGATTTTTCTCAGGCGGGATCGAAAGCGACTGGGAACAAACATAGCAGGGACTATCAGATCGCTGGATCAAGCACATTGCGTTAGGTACCGCGCTCGAACATCCAGTTCCGAGGAATATTAGTGCCGATCTATCACGATCAGAGGTAACAAAGCCGTTCTCAGCCGGAATCAAACTTTCCATCATCGGCGATTTCAGTATCTCTTACGTATGGAATATTCCGGCGAAGGAGGAATCTAAAGTCGAACGTAGAACTGTAACAGAAGGATGTCGACGACGCAAATTAGTTTGATATAAATACATAAAAAGATCAACGGTGTTTTATCTAATTGGTGTTTACCACGTGGCGTAATCTTAACGGTTCTGAATCTGGGAATGTTAAATTTATTATTTTCAATTTTGACTCGTAGTTTTTTCTCTAGTTTTTTCACCCCTCGTCCTTACTGATGTTTCAATTTCAATTTCAAAATTCGCGAATGGTTTCGTTTGCTTTGCTCTGGGAAACATTTGGATTTTGTTACCTGAGAATTTAGTAGCAAAATATTGGTGAAGGAGCTTCTCTCGCTACTGTTTGTTAAATTTTGATGTTGAATTTAAGGGTTAATCGGATTCTTCGTAGAGCCTTAATCCGATTTTCACCTTGCTCAATCTCTAACGGTGAAGCTGATGATGCATCTTTCTCGACATCTTCGTCGAAAAATCCTCATGGTCCAGAGATCCAAGGAGATTCTTCTAGTCAAGAAGATGGCCACTTTGGAGAGTTCAGCCAATTGGGTTTCCGAAAGTCACCAGCTTTGAGTGCTACGAGCGTTGGTGATGCTGAATTTGGAGAAATTCGAAACCCTAGGTTCAATGAGATTGATGAATTGGGAGAAGATGAAGATGATGAAGAAGGAAGTGTAACAAGTGGCGACGAATGTGATGATGATTTTGCTGTTCTGAAATCGGTTGGGAAGATCCCACAATCGAGAGAAGACGTTGGTAGATTCGATGTCGAAGAAGATGAATCCAGGCATCCTTTGGTGAGAGAGATTGGGAGGTTGATTGGCCTCAGGTCATCTTGGAACCCGAAGCATGAAGGCCAGATGAGGAATCTTTTAAGGAGTCTTAAACCATCACAAGTCTGCGCTGTTTTACGCTCACAAGACGATGAACGGGTTGCTCTTAAGTTCTTCTACTGGGCGGATCGTCAATGGCGGTATCGCCATGACCCCATGGTGTATTACTCGATGCTTGAGGTTCTTAGTAAGACTAAAATGTGTCAAGGTGCTAGGAGAGTTCTCGTTCTGATGAAGCGTAGAGGTATATATCGAACCCCTGAAGCGTTTTTGCGTGTAATGGTATCATATAGTAGAGCAGGTCAGCTGAGAGATGCATTGAAAGTGTTGACTCTTATGCAGAGAGCTGGAGTTGAACCTAACTTATTGATTTGCAATACGACTATTGATGTTTTCGTGAGAGCAAATAGGTTGGAGAAAGCTTTACGGTTTCTAGAACGTATGCAGGTTGTTGGTATAGTGCCAAATGTAGTGACTTATAATTGTATGATTAGAGGTTATTGTGACTTACATCGAGTTGAGGAGGCAATTGAACTACTAGATGATATGCCTAGTAAAGGATGTTTGCCGGATAAAGTTAGTTACTATACCATAATGGGCTATCTTTGTAAAGAAAAACGGATTGTGGAAGTGAGAGACTTGATGAAGAAAATGGCGAAAGAGCATGGTTTGGTGCGGGATCAAGTTACCTACAATACTCTAATTCATATGCTCACAAAACATGATCATGCGGATGAGGCTCTTTGGTTTTTAAAAGATGCTGAAGAAAAAGGTTTTCGAATTGATAAGGTGGGTTATAGTGCCATAGTTCATGCATTGTGCAAAGAGGGAAGAATGTCCGAGGCAAAAGATCTCATTAACGAAATGCTGTCAAAGGGGCACTGTCCTCCTGATGTAGTAACTTATACTGCAGTTGTCAATGGCTTCTGTCGTTTGGGTGAGGTGGACAAAGCTAAAAAGCTGCTTCAGATTATGCACACTCATGGATATAAACCAAATACTGTGTCATACACAGCTCTGTTAAATGGGTTGTGCCGAACAGGGAAATCGTTAGAGGCAAGAGAAATGATGAACATGAGCGAAGAGCAATGGTGGAGTCCAAATTCTATCACTTATAGCGTACTTATGCATGGGTTGCGTAAGGAAGGGAAATTGTCTGAGGCCTGTGATGTGGTGAGAGAGATGGTACTAAAAGGTTTTTTCCCAGGCCCAGTTGAAATTAACTTATTGCTCCAGAGTCTTTGCCGGGATGGGAGAACTCACGAGGCCAGAAAATTCATGGAGGAGTGTCTGAACAAGGGTTGTGCTATTAATGTTGTGAATTTTACTACAGTGATTCATGGTTTTTGTCAGAACGATGAGCTAGATGCTGCTCTATCCGTGCTTGATGACATGTACCTGATCAACAAACACGCGGATGTCTTCACCTATACTACTTTAGTTGATGCACTGGGCAAAAAAGGTAGAATAGCAGAAGCAACAGAACTTATGAAGAAGATGCTTCATAAAGGAATTGATCCTACCCCTGTTACATACAGAACTGTCATCCATCGATACTGCCAAATGGAAAAGGTTGATGATCTCGTGGCTATACTAGAGAAGATGATATTGAGGCAGAAATGCAAGACAATTTATAATCAAGTCATTGAAAAGCTTTGTGGTCTGGGAAAGCTCGAGGAGGCAGATAAACTTTTGGGAAAAGTTCTGAGGACAGCTTCAAGATCTGATGCTAAGACATGTTATGCGCTTATGGAAGGCTATCTTAAGATAGGTGTACCTCTGTTAGCATATAAAGTGGCTTGTCGGATGTTTAACCGCAATCTGATACCTGATGTTAAGATGTGTGAAAAGCTTAGCAAGAGACTGGTTGTGGAAGGTAAAGTTGAGGAGGCAGATCAGCTAATGTTACGTTTGGTTGAGCGTGGTTATATTTCACCCCAGTCCTCAAAACAGTCGATGGTCTCGTAAATACTGTCTGGATTTGCTTTAGTTATTTGTAAACCCAAACTTCTTAGTAAACTGTTTGAGGTTTCAAGCAAAGAGATTTTGATTGAATACAACTCTGTCCAGGTGCTGGAAATGATAACAACATGCTGTTGTATTTTTCACTGGTTAGTGACAACCTCCAGATCCCAAGCGAAGCAACTAGGCTCTCGCTTCGTTAGCGGTGATGGATTTCTTCTTTTATGCTCTTGGCATGAGGAAACCGGTTTGAGCAAAAACCAGTTATTATTTCATATTTTCCTGGTAGCGACCTGTTATTCCCAGTACTTCTCTACTTGCAGTTTTCATTATTAATGGCTGGACGAAACCAAGAAATAAACTTTCCGAAAGGAAGAGAACGTGAAGTGATTTTTTGCTTTCTGCAGGGACCTTATTAATGTGATACCTTACAATCAAGTACTGATAAGCCTCTGTCTAAGTTTTACTTGAATTAAGGCCACGATTGTTTCTTTACGTTTGCGTTTCCATGTTATAATGATTAGAACACTATAACATGGATAGGCAAACAGAAACACAAAGAATAATTGTGAGCTAAATCATGTCTCTTTAATTGCTTTTTTACTAAATAGCAAGATTAGATGTGTTTGACACTTCACAGCTCATACAATTCTTAGTATACCAGTGTTTATGATCACTTTGATTATTCTGGGGAGTAATTTCATTATAGATCATGAGGTTTTGTTGGTTGCTTCATAGTTAGAATAGAGTAAAAGGTGCAAATAGAAAAAAGTTGTTGATGCAACTGAGAAGGCTTGAGTGTAACACCAAGAGTTTCTGTAAAGTTTCTTTAAATTTAGGATGCTCACTTTCTCTGAAGGTACATGCAAGTTATGATATCAATTATGCAAAGAAAGGGAAATCTTTTGGAACAGACAGAATTCTATGGTTAGAAATACAATAGATGACTTATTGTTGATGGGGTATATCTTACATGTCCCTATATCAATAAAGATATGCATTATTTTCTGTATTTGGGTATAGTGAAGCTGATAGCTTGCTTGTTGCATTAGCTCTCTCTCTCTTATTGTATTTTAGTTGATTTTGGTTTGTTGTACTGACACGGAATTAACTCGTCATTGGTTTCTTCGTGTGAACCTCGTGATTTTGGAGGTACTTATCAGACAACATTTTCATGATAATACCTGCATCTTGGCTGATTCTGATAGTAAGCCAAAGTTAGAGACTGTTGCTGGGAAAGTGAAAGTAAAGAGTGTACCTTCCTCAGTTACTGCTTTTGTTGTGGATTGTTTAAACAAAATATCATGTCTGATCGGCTTGTCCGATTATTGTTTGAAACTGTTGCTTTTAAGTGGAACTTACTGAGCAGTTTCCATTTCGGCGTGTTGATGTTTGTTTTTCCATGTAAAGGTTAAGAGAACCCTACTGCAAAACTCGTTTCTTACTCTGTGCATCCGCTGTTCCATATAATTCCATGCACAATCATGCTAGAAAGAAAGTGTTACTTTCAAGAATCTCTTGTGAAATTTTCTTTGGAAAAGATGTTGGATTGATCTTTGGTGATGTGATTTGTTGTTTTGTTTGTAATGTTTAAATGGTATGTCCCTGTATATGACAACGATTATAACTATTGTTGTCTTTGAGTGAAGGACTTGACTTATCAACAGGATTCTACCTTGGATTTATGATATTTTCATTAATACTTAACAGTAAATGCTACTGGAGCTTCAGAGGATCTCTACTGGTTACTTGCAAATGCCGACAGAGTGAGAACTGTTCGCTCTCAACACTGTACAGTTGCTCTGTGGTCAGTTGACTAACAATTTACAGGTACTGAAAGTTTCCAACTTTACAGAACAATGTAGTTAATAGAGACTCGACGACTATGACTGAACCATCATCTAGTATGGTCTTTGGTATCTTATGTATTGAGAAAATGCCCTGTTAAGTCTTTGCTTTCACAAAATGGTTAAATACAAATAGTTAAGCTTTATGGTTAAACAACAGAGTCCTGCAGTTAAAAGCTTTGGCTTTGGAACCAGAGAAACCACTCGGTTTAATGTTTTTGTTTCTTAACTCATAAACAACATTGGTGAATGCTTCTTTACACCCCCATAAATTATACAGCCACATTATTGAGATGAGTCGAAGTCACCGGCAATGAATCCATGCCATTGTACCGATGACTAATGAAGTTCCTATAGCCCTCTTCTCTCAGAAACATTGTTTCCTTATATAAAGTTTCCTTGTTTTTTCCACTCTCTGCAAATGTTGTATGTTTTCCATGATTTAGGTTCATTCCGGTTTATGGTTTCGCAGGTGCAAGCACTCTGCAACCAAACATGAAGAGTCCTTTCTGCTCCATATCCGTGGCCCATGAACATTGGCAACAAAAATATATATTCATTCCCTTATTCACCCATATGTGCAAAATTCAACTGTAGCCTCTTTTGTCAGCTTATGGTTAACAATCGTTTTCCTCGTCGGCTTATTACGCGTCGTCAAGAGAAAGCTCATTGGTTATGGCCATCCATTCTTTGTGCTTGACCTGAACTGGACTGTGTCTTTGAGGATTTTGTGTTTGGTATTATCCAAAGGCACTTATGCTTTTGCTTGCTGTATCATCTCCCATGTTCTCTTTACTTTGTTTGTCTTCCAAGATCATTAATTGCCTCTGTACGGTCAAATTCTTGTGTAAATTCGGTTTTGCCCTTACTCCTCTTGACATCCCAACCTGCTTCTTGGTGGGGCAAATGAGGAAATATCTGCAAATTTTATCAAAACAATTAGTAACTTGAAATATAATTAATATTCTTTTTTCTTTGAGTTAAAATGTTAAGTTGATTACTCATCATAAAGAATTCTTCACATGAAGATAGCATAGTCAAACAAGTTATATGCATTAAAACCATTGATGAAGAAAGTCTTCTAGGTGCGGCATTGTTGGCCAACGTAGAGAACTGATTCGATTACGAATCAGCTTGTCGATTTGCCGAGTGAGTGTGGAGTAGTGCGATATATAGCCCTGATTGCGGATTCAACCATTCATTTCTTTCCGCACATGATAAATAGTTGTTTCAGTAACGCTAGTCGAATGGGGATTCATTGCTATTTGCTCAACGTAGAAGCTTCAGTGAGGTGAAACTATAATTTTTCGTTTTGACTCTACTATAATGTCTCAAATTTAGTCGAGATTTTATGTCTTCTTAGTTCTTACTATCAACGACGATGTTGATAAATAAAAATCGACAATGCTTCTTTGTAAACCATAGTATGATAATGTACGGTATTCTATTTTCTAATTTTATCACCATTTAAGAAAGAAAAAAAACTAATGGGAATGGACCACTAAAAGATTTTTCATTCCTTTTTAAAAGAGATGTGATCTTTAAAAAAGTCCTATCGTAAAAAAGGATTTGATATATATGATGCAACATCTTTGCAACATATATAGCATCCAGAAAAAAACTTAAGGAAGCATTATACAGCTCACACACATGCTTGTAACAGCTACAAGATTTACGAGTTTTTTTTAGTTTATCTATATATTTACTTTGTTATTAATTTATTTAAATGATCTTTGCTCGAATCTTAAAGGGAGCAAATCCCTGAAGAATGATTGCTTTTGTATCTGATTTTATTATATAGTAATCAAATATACTCAAAATAATATAAAGTTGTCCCCTTTCAAGACCACCGATCTGCATTTTTTACCTGTAATGTTCCTGTACCATGGTCTGAATCTGATACATGCTCTAAACTATATCAAGGCCTGTTCCTTTTTTATTGTTCTTGTTGTTCCTTGCAAAAATGGTTTCTAAAAACAAATAATATTCACCAAATAATTCCACCTTTTTCTTTTAACTATTTCTGGATGATTGTAGGACTATACAATTGATATGCATAATTATATATACTCTATTCAAATAAAATTTACCAAATAATCATTTTACACAATATTGCTAGCCCCAAAAGGAAGTTATTTTCCACAACCGTTAAAATGTTCTGACGTGATAGTATTATCAATAATAATAAATTAGTGTATCCATTGAAGTAGATTGAGCTTAACCCGTGCTTAGTAACCCATCTTAGGGAATGATTATGAATTTGTAATCATTAATATATAGAATAACCTAGTTATTTGCCCAAAATACCAAAATAGTTGCCAGCAAGATAAAATGATATATAAACTGGATACCACTATTATAATATGATAATTTAATGATCTGTCCATTCGGGGACATAAGATAAATAAAAAAATTAACGATCTTTTAGATTAAATATAATTGGGAATAATGATAAGCATGTGTTGGAAAGTAACAAGGGTATGGCTTTTTGGTAGGGAAGAACGTTTATTGACATCAAATTATAGCATGCATTGTCCCCTCCAAAGGGTATGTGTCATTCCTTCACCCACTAATTTAAAAAAAATAAATCATGATAAATATATGATTTACATAATCCTTTCCCTAACATAATAGGAATATCTATAAGAAGTGACTCTAATAGTCTAATTATATGTCAATCATAAATGCCTACCAAAAAAAAATATGTCAATCATAAATGGTTTAACATTTTATAATGCTCGTTTGTCCAGCTTATCAGTCACTTTTCAGTAGTAAAAATGTGATTTTAGTCAATCACACTTTACATATTTAACAATATAAGTTTAAAACAGAAAAGTGTTTAACTATATTTTCACTATAAGAGATTTTAGACAATTATATTAGTCATTAGCTAGATATGTTAAAGATTATTTTAAAACAAAGATTTGTTGTATTTTTTTTGTATTTTGATTTTTGAAATCTATATATGATGTTCTAGATTTAAATAAAAACATCATATCCAAGTTGGAATGTTTTGACAATGCAAAACGACATCGGATTTTATAAATATCATAGTTAGATATTTTAGGAGGTAGGGTTCAAATTAATAATTTATTGTAAGAAAATATAGATTTTTTAATCTTATGAGATGAGATATGAGATTTGTTTTTGGTTTTACACTCCACTAGGACCACTATCACCCAAAAATAACAGAAAACTTAAATAATGAATTACATTTTTGTAAGAAGAAATAAAAGAGAATATGTATGATACAGCTGCTAAACAAATGTTCGGAAACCATTAAATCTTGTCTTTGAGAGTAGGGACTCCAAGTGGTATAACAAGCCTTGAGCCAAATACATTATTTACAGTATTATTTATTTGATTACATTATATATATAAAAAAAATGTTATGATTGAAAAACATTATTTATTTATTATTGTTGATAATTAGATTTGTTTATCAACAATGATAAATTTCTCAGGTAGAGGTAGTAGATTCGACATTTGGGTTTGAACTTTTACATATTCAAAAAAAAAAAAATTATACATTATTTATATACTACAATACATTTTGTGTATAAATCATAAAATGTGTAGTATTTTCCGTTTTTTTTTGTCAACAATGGATTACACTAATCTTATTTTTTACATGTATTCATTTTAATTTAACCTCCTTTTTTTGGTTCAACAATTTTAATTCAACTAGTATTATAACTCATATTTTTCAGACCAGGAGAATAAAAAAGTTGAAAGCGAATAAAATCCACACATGAAGAATTAATTTTAAAAGAATTTTTTTTTTTTTCCAATGCCTACTATAAAAATATGTACGTTAGTGTACATTTCACACAAAACACAACACTCTCTTTACTTCGTCGTCTTTTTTTCTTTAGAATTTCTGGTGACCGGCGCCAAAAAAAAAAAGAAAAGAAAAACATCACCGGGGAAATGGACGAATCGTGGCGTATGAAGATGGGTTTAAGCGTCGATCCATTCTTCTCCATTGCTCGTAAATCCATGGATGCTCGAATTGACGCGGAAGACTTCGCCGATGTTTTCGGCGGTCCGCCGCGAAGTGTCCTGACCAGAAAATTTTCCGGCGACTTCTCTCGTTCCGACTGTTTCTACGACGAGATTTTCCGGCCTCCGGGGAATTTCTCCGGCGGCTCTCTTCCATCTTCTAAATCTCACGGAAGAAATTTACCATCGTTCAGAATTCCGTCCGGCGGAGAAGGATTTTACGACGGCGTGTTTGGTGGTCGCGGCGGGTCGGCGAAGGAGGGATCGAAAAAACAGAGCTCGATGGCGAAATCGAGATCGAATTCGTCGTCGATGCTTTCTTCCGAGGAGGTCAGTCCTCACAACCCTCCACCAGCAGCAGCTTCCGGCGACGACTCCGGATTTTCTTCTTTCACATCTAGACTCAGGTGAGTAAATTTACCATTTTACCCTCCAATTCGGTTCTACTCCTGGGGGCAATTCAGTAATTTTAACATGCTCTGTTTTTTGTCTGTTCAGACCGTTAAACGTCCCGTCGAGAAGTCATAAACGAGAGTCAAAGAAACAGAGTTTCTCGGCGTTTCCAACAGCCAAAGATTCATTTTCCGGCCAAAATAACACACCGGAAAAAGCTGATTTCTACTACAAAAAACCACATTTCGGCGGATCAAGAAGAGCCTCGCCAGAAACCATAAGCTTGGATCCAAATTCTTTCAGAAGAATGGATGATTACGGACCAAGCTCTCCTGCATCTTCCCCTGTTTCTTCCTTCATCTGCGAAGAAGAAGACGACAACACTCATGCAAAACAGAGAACCACCAGAGACTGTAAAGTCGAAGACGTAGTAGTCGTAGAAGATGAAGAAGACGAAGAAGAAGAGATGAGCTCTTACGTAATTGAGATAAACTCAGATCGATTCGATCGTTACAGAGAAGAAGGAGGAGGAGGAGGAGGAGGAAATTCAGATTCAAACGACATGGATGAAGCAATAGCTTGGGCAAAAGAGAGATCTCAAAGACCAGAAGCAAAGCAAACAGAAGAAGACGTAATCGATTCAAGAAGAAGTGAAGAAGAACCCAAATCAGAAGAAGAGGTTAGTGTCATTTAACATTTTCCCGGTTAAAAAAACAAAAACTGATCTTTCCTCAAGAAACTGATGAGACAAAATGAATAATGCAGATGGAGATGGAGATGAAAGATGAAGAGATCAGAATCTGGTTAACCGGAAAAGAGACAAACATTAGACTTCTCCTCTCAACTTTACATCATGTAAGTCAGAAGTTATAATTGGTTTGATTTTGGCTTAGACCAGATTAACCGGTTACTAAACCGGGATTTTTATTCAGGTTTTGTGGTCAAATAGCAATTGGCATTCAATTCCTTTAGCAAATCTTCGAGATGGATCACAAGTGAAGAAAGCTTATCAAAAAGCTCGGCTTTGTTTACATCCAGATAAGCTACAACAAAGAGGAGGAACTTCACCGATTCAAAAATCTGTCGCGAGTAGAGTTTTCGCCATTCTTCAGGTACTTAACCGAGTAAAAACCGATATCGGTTCACAACTTGTAAGCTTCGTTTTTTTTTATGATCTAGTCACTAACTCTTAAGACTTAACATTTGGAAATTGTAGGAAGCGTGGGCTGTGTACGTAACAAATGAAGGTCTCTCGAGCTAAACCGGAATCCGCAAACAATATTCTTTTGGTTTATATTAAACCGGAGGTGTTCAGAATCGGTTTATAATAATGTAAGAAGAACAAGAGCAAAGTTATAAAAAAAATGGATAATCACTCTGTTTTTTTTTTTTTGTAAAAGTCATATGAACATTCCCATGTGTGCCTTTGTATATTCCATTGTCAATGTTCTTATATACAGAAAACAACAAAATGTTCCAAACTTACTTACACACACGGACACACCAAAAGTTACACATGAATGTATGGCTTTTGCTTATGATGTCTAGCCATAAAACTTGTGATGGAGGAATCAGTCATGTCGACGTATGCATATTCGTTGTCGTCCAAGATATAGACTCTGTCAGAGATCATGCCGGGAAAGGAGCTAGCAGGGACTGATAGAAGAAAGTTTGTTATGGAAGAATCGAGAGAGAAAACGTGAAAACATTCTTTCTGTTATTCATTTTAATCTTCACATTGACTCAAACTCTATTTATATACTAAGTAGAATCCTGTTTACATCATACCAGTTCAATTACAGACTCAATGTACGGTTTAACTAAACCATACTCTATTATTCCCCCTCAAGATGGCACATAAATTGATTTAAGAGCCATCTTGCCAATGAGAAACTTGAACTGAGATGGATAGAGAGGTTTGGTGAACACATCAGCCAACTGGTGCTCTGTGTTGATATGAAGTGTTTTGATCAAACCACTAACAATCCTGTCCCTGACAATGTGACAGTCCAATTCCACATGTTTAGTGCGTTCATGGAAGATGGAATTGTTAGCAATGTGAATAGCAGCCTCTGAATCACAAAAGAAAGCCACTGACTTAGTCTGCTTGGCCTGAAATTCATCAAGTAAGTTCACCAGCCAAGAAATCTCACGAACTGCATACTGCATTGCCCTGTATTCTGACTCAGCAGAGGAATGAGAAGCAACTGGTTGCTTTTTAGATTTCCAGGAAATCAGAGAATTGCCAAGGAACATACAATAACCAGAAGTAGAACGTCTGTAATCACGGTCTGCTCCCCAGTCTGCATCAGTAAAACCCTGAAGTATCAAGTTGGATTCAGAAGAATAAAACAAACCCTCTCCAACAGTGCCTTTGAGATAATGCAGGACTTTGTATGCAGCCTTCATATGAGATGCTTTTGGTTCAGATGTGAATTGACAAAGTTTGTTCACCGCAAAAGTGATATCTGGACGAGTGATCGTCAGGTACATTAACTTCCCCACCAGTCTACGATAAGAAGCAGGGTCTTCTACCAGAGGTTCATCTCCATCAGAGACAAGATGAATGCTAGGATCCATGAGAATACTGGAGGGCTTACAAGCCAATAAACCAGCTTCTTCCAAGATGTCCAGAGCATACTTTCGTTGATAAATAGAGATTCCCGCATTTGATCTTGCAATCTCAAGGCCAAGAAAATATTTTAAAGGACCAAGATCTCTGAGCTTAAAAGCTTTTTGTAAATCTTCTTTCAGTGTTGCAACTTCCTCATCATGATTACTCGCAATCACTATGTCATCAACATAGACAAGAACAGCCACATACTTACCATTCACATTTCGAAGAAATAATGTATGATCAGCATGAGACTTTCTGAACCCCAAAGACATCAATGTGGAACTAATTTTAGAAACCACTGTCGTGAGGCTTGTTTAAGTCCATATAAGGACTTCTTTAGTTTGCAGACAGCATTAGGAGGCAAAGTTTCCCCCTCTTGTGGTGTATATCTAGGAGGTAAATTCATGTAAATTTCTTCATCCAAATCACCATTTAAAAAGGCATTGGAGATATCTAATTGATGAAGCCTCCATTTCTTTGCAGCTGCAACAGCTAACAATGTCTTAACTGTTGTCATTTTTGCTACAGGAGAAAATGTGTCAACAAAATCAATTCCTTCTTTTTGTGTGTAACCTTTGGCCACTAAACGTGCCTTATAGCGCTCCAGACTTCCATCTGAATTTAGTTTCACCTTGTACACCCACTTGCAACCAATAGAATGTTTATTTTGAGGCAAAGAAACAATATCCCATGTGGATGTACCCTCTAGAGCCTGCAACTCTGCATTCATAGCTTTTAACCAATCATCTGATTTCTTGGCTTGAGAGAAAGAGCTTGGTTCAGCATATTTAGTGACAGAACAGATGTATGCTCGATATGGCTCAGAAAGCTTGTCATAGTTCATATAATCAGCAATGGGATATGTAACCCCTGAAGAAGTCAAGTTGCAGTAGTAATCAGTTAAGTAAGAGGGAGCCTTACTAGAACGCTTTTCATTTCTTGATACATTAGTGGGAGCCGAGACTACAGGAGCAGGGTCTGAAGTAGTGTTGAGATCTGTAGGAGATTCACCACTCAAGACTACAGACTCAACACGTGTAGGATTCACTGCAGGAGATTCAACACTCACAACCGCAGGATCTACACTATGAAACACTGTAGGAGATTCATCACTCACAACTACAAGTTCAATACTATCAGAATAACTAGTATCTGTAGGCTCATCAATGCTGCCAAAAATGTCTGAAACAGAAGTGGAGTCACCTTTGATAAAAGGGAAAATGGTTTCATGGAAAATTACATTCCGTGAAATATGAATAGAATGAGACTCCAAATCAAGTAACTTGTATCCTTTATAACCAGCAGGGTAGCCGAGAAAGACACAAGGCTTTGCTCTTGGTTGAAATTTGGTGCGTCCTTTTGTTGATGTAGAGCTGTAACATAAAGAACCAAAGACACGTAAGTCTCTGTAATCAGGTTTCTTTTTATTTAACACCTCATATGGAGACATGTCCTTGAGAAGTTGAGTAGGCATCCTATTAATCAGAAACACTGCTGTGAGAATGCAGTCTCCCCAATACTCAGTTGGTATGTTAGACTGAAACATGAGGGAGCGAGCAACATTCAAAATGTGCTGATGCTTACGCTCAACCACAGAATTTTGCTCTGGTGTCTCTGGACAGGAATGATAAGGAACTATACCTTTGCGTTTAAACAACTCTACAAACCTTAGCTCAGGTGCATTATCAGATCTTACACCCTTGACTACAGCTTTGTACTGTACTTCAATCATCTTTAAGAAATCTGGGAAAACACGCAATACGTTAGCCTTATTCCTCAACAAATAAACCCAAGTGACTCTAGTATGATCATCAACAATGGTGAGAAAATATTTATAGCCATCAACTGTAGAAGTTGCAAATGGTCCCCAGATATCCATGTGTAACAATTCAAATGCAGATTCACAAATGTTGTTCTTGGAAGGAAAAGAGAGATGTTTCTGCTTTGCAAGTGGACAAATAGCACAATGAAAAGCCTTTTTATTCCTTTGTTTAAAACCAAGTACATCTGAAATAATATCACTCCTATAATCAGAGGGATGACCTAGCCTATTATGCCATAAGCTAGAATCAACAACAACATTTGTAGAATATGAAATCTGCTGAGTAAAATCATTGATAACAGTCTTAACATCCAAGACATAAAGATTTGAAATCTGTTCACCCTTCCCAATCATCAAGCCCTTGATAGGATCCTGAATGAGACAAGAAGCTTCATCAAATGTCACTCTGCATCCCAAATCTTTAGTTAGTTGACTGATACTAAGAAGATTCAATCTGAAATCTGGAATGTATAGGACATTATGCAAGAGCAGAAATTCATTCAACTTCACTATACCTATTCCTGTGATTTTAACTCCAAAACCAGTAGGTAAAGTAATAGAGTTATTAAGAGTTTCATTCAAACTTGTGAAAAGGTTTTTATCACGACAAACATGATGCCTAGCACCACTGTCAATGATCCATGATTCAGATGATAGAACATTACCAGTAGCCTTCAACATTCCAACAAAATGAAGAGTGGAGGAAGAGAAAGCCATACCAGGCAATGCGGTAATAGTAGCACCTGAAGAAGGACCTGAAGTAGAAGCAACTGAAGTAGAAGGACCTTGAATGGAATTAGCCTGAAACTGAGAATTAAAATAATCAAGAACCCCCTGAATCTGATCCTTAGTGAGAGTCTTAGCCATTCCTGTAAACAAATCACCAGTAGAAGAGTCTGTCAAAGCAAGCTGAGCAACAACTGGTTTAGCAGGAAGAGACTGTCGATCAGAAGACTTGTCAGACTGATTCTTATGTTTGTGTTTGAAACCCAGTGGATAGCCATGAATCTTGTAACACTTATCAACTGTATGACCTGTATATCCACAATGAGAACAAATCACTTTTGGACCTTTGGAATGATTGTAAGTAGCATTCACAGAAGCTGATGTTGATTCTGAAGCAGCAACATTAAAAGCCACATCATTCTGAACTGGTGTGAGATTTCTCTGACTGTGATCCTGATCCAACAAGTTGTATATTTCAGAAAGCTCAGGGATGTGTTTCTTCATGATTATTTGACTGCGAATGACTGAATAAGAATCATTCAAACCAGCAAGAAACTTAATCACACGAGAATTATCAGTTCTCTGTCCCATTGCCTTGCAACAATCACAATTCCTGCAAATTTTCACACAATTAGCTCCATCCAAATCATTCCAAAGAGTCTTCAAAGTAGTGTAATATGTAGCCAAATCCATCGATCCTTGTTGTAGTGACCAGATCTGCTGAGATAATTGATAAGATCTGGGAATATTTGTAATATGAAACCGAGTGTACAAATCCTTCCAAATCATTGAAGCATCATCAAACCTGAGAATACTTTTGTATATCTGCTTTGAAACTGCATTCAGAATCCAAGCCTTGACCAAGCTATTACAACGTGACCAGATTCAGCAGGTCGCGGAATGGATCCATCAATGAATGCAAGTTTATTTTTCGCATCTAACGAAGTTTTCAACGCAATACTCCAATCATCATAATTTGTACCATCAAGAACAGTAGATATAATCGAGATTCCAGGATTATCACTATGCGTAAGATGAAACGGAGAGTGAATACTATCTGGAGAATCAATCGAAGAAACGTAATCTTGAGTGATCAACTGTGGAGTTGAACTTTCTGGAGAATCCTCGCGATTTACCGGTCGACGAGCTGAAGAAGCTACGCGAGCCGTGCGACGATTCAATTTTCGTGTGATCGCCATCGGAATTTGAAGTCGCGATGAAGATCTGAAGAAGAATTTTGTCGATATAACGATTTCCAGTGAAACAACCGGAGAAATCGATCGAAAGAAGAATCAATAGAGAAGAAACATCGAAGAATCAAGCTCAAACAAACGGAAACAATGGAAGAATCGGTTGAATTTTCTGGAATTCAACGCTCTGATACCATGATAGAAGAAAGTTTGTTATGGAAGAATCGAGAGAGAAAACGTGAAAACATTCTTTCTATTATTCATCTTAATCTTCACATTGACTCAGACTCTATCTATATACTAAGTAGAATCCGGTTTACATCATACCAGTTCAATTACAGACTCAATGTACGGTTTAACTAAACCATACTCTATTAGGGACACAGAAAGGTTCAGCCTTTGAGAGGAAAATGGCGAGATCTCTGATGTTATTAGTGTAAATCGCATTTCCTTCTTCGTCAGGCTTGAACACCATTAAAGCTTCTGTTTTCATTTTGGCACTACCGACAATAATCTTGGCGGTCTTCTTGTACACCTTAAGCAAGAATGTTTCACCCGTGGATTGTGACTCCACCAAGTGTTCGCTCGTGACTCCACCAAGTGTTCGCTCGTGCTGCATGAATTCAAAAGGTCGCGTTTGGTCTTGGTCAGCTCGGGAAGGTTTTGATATCGCATCTCTGGAAGCTTGGGTGCGCACTTGTGTTTGCGGGGATCCAATGACCAAATGAGGTGGCCTCCAGATCCGGGTATGCGAAACATGTCATGTTTCTTGGAAAACATGACTTGGGAGGAGAAGAAGCAAGGAGTTACTTTGACCCGGTCTGCAAAAGCTGAGCTGAGGTCCCAAGAACTTAGCAGCCACAACACAGTCCTCTTCCTCTGGAGAAGGTGTGGACATTGCCACGTTGGTGACGATTTGGGTTTGGCAATGAAGCAGAGTTTCAAGAGGAGGCAACTGAGATATGTTTCGGATCTGAATCCGATGCAAGCGGGTTCCCAAGAAATTTTAAATTTTCGATTTGGTTTCACAGAAAAGTGTTTGTTTGTTTTTATTACATTTGAACTGAAATGTCTATCGAACCTCACCGTCCGACAATGTAGAAATGGCAAAACCATATTTGAAAAGCTTTTACTTTCCGGTGAATCGATTCAAGCCAAGATACTCGCAACACGCATATGCTATTCACAACAAACATTCCATGGAAGCAAACAACATTAAAATATCAATAATCCCCATTCCACAACATAGTTTCAAACTTGCTTTGCTTCACTTCTTGACGCTTCCTTTGTAATTTATAACGAACAAAATCTATATTAGAAAAAAATAAACAGTTTATGCCGACTGTTTTGCAATTGTCTGGTTAGCCATGGCACCATTAGTACCACCTGAAACATGAAGAAACAAAAAAGGATTTGTGTTTACATGTTTCGTTAGTTTCTCCTTTCTAGGCTTTATCTAACAAACAGAATAATCAAGGCAGATTCTTACCACCATCGGTTCCTTCCTCTTTCTCTTCGTCGATGGTTTTCCAAACAATGTCCTTAAGTCCCGTGGTAAGATTCTTGTAAAACTTAAAGAAGAGCAAGAAAGTAGGCAAAATGTAAAGATTCACTGGAACACCATTTGACAAGCAAAAGCACAAGCTCGAGTTTGATAGAACCAGATCAGCATTAATAACCCTTGCGTACCTTGTGGAATTCCAAGGTGTCACCCCCCGATTTTCGCATTTCAACCATGTAAAGAGATGGAGCAACTTGAAAAACCTGATGGTAGATGTCAATTAACTTAAATTAGGGTTCATCCAACCATACAAAGGGTGATCACTGGTCATTGTGAAAGCTAACCTCAGTGGCAACTGCCAACTGACCCTTGCGGCCTGATTTCTCTCCTGTCAGCTTCATCTGAAAGAGTTGAGAAATGGTTAAAGGGTCTAATCAGAAGCAACAAACCAATACAACTCCACAGCATGGGTAAATATGTAACAGTGTTCTAACCTTGTAGTTATTTGTCTTGACATCAAACCCCATAGGTGCTGCCGCAGCCTCAATTTTTGTGACTATCTCATTAGCTGAAGATTTGGAAGTGAATCGAGTTTTTCGTTTCACAAGCCCCTGAAATCAGAGATGCTTATCAATCAGAATGACGACTTCTATCAAAAGTACGGGCTTCCAAGGAAAACTATTGGTCAATAACATTTTGTGGCAAAGCTACTTCTATTTAGGTCAGACCAAACCCGCAAAAAGATTGTTTAAAATCGTCAACAAAATAAGAGCCTTGGGGACTGAAATTTAAGGACCAGCTTTACGTATCAGACTTCTGTACCATTTGTTTTTCGAAAAGTGAACCGAGATTGAGACCCTGGGATGTCGAGATGAGCTCAAAAGCATTCATAGTTACTGGTGTTTTGAGTCCTTCTTCTCGCCTCTCCACAACAAGATTCTTAGACTCCTATTAACAAACAAAAACAAAATGAGCAATCATCCCGGACGAAGTACCGAAAAAGGACAAAAGAACATTAGCCTTACCCCTGAGTCATCAAAGATTGCATCAACATCATCAAGGCTGACATCAGCATTCTCGAATTTAGGTGCTTTATACCCTTTATTAAACCACTCATTTTCAATGACCTCAGCAAATGTAATCCTCTGCCAAATATCAAAAATCAGTGTAAGGCCTTCAGATCTACTCAATCCAATAGAAGCTTTTGCCTCTTCAAAGGAGAGCTCCTCTAATATAATAGGGTAAGAAAAATATACCGTTGCTGGATTGGGATCCAAAATTCTTTTGATTAACTTCTTAGCACTTGCAGAGAACCAGGGAGGGCAAGTAAATTCTGCTTTGAATATCTATAATCATGAAGAGAGAAAACTCAGGTGCCTTTTTATGCTATATACATCTCGTGTCCTACAAAAATGACAGAGGCTTCTATACACCCAGCCCAAATGACACCTAGAAATGTAAACCTTGAAGCCTTTCTAATAGCATGCAAAATGAATATGTATCAAAAGAAAAGCAAAAGAAGAAGAGCAAAGTGTAATACCTTTTTATATAATGACGTGAGGTTAGAATCTTCGAAAGGTAAATAACCAGCCATTAAGACAAAGAGAATTACTCCACAAGACCACAAATCAGCCTTCGCTCCATCATAACCTTTGTTGTTGATTACCTAGAGAGAAAATATAGAAGGTTACTCAGACTAGAAAATAATAGACTTCGAGCTTCAAGACAACTGTATGTCAGTTTTCAATAGCAGTCGATATAATACCTCCGGAGCAACATAATTGGGTGTTCCACAGGTTGTGTGAAGTAGCCCATCCTCCTAAAGAAGAAGAGTCACGAAATCAGCTTTTGATAACTCATGGAAAACTTTCTCCTTAGAGGCCATAGTAGCTGAATTATCAAACATTTACAATGATATAATAGAAAAAAGAAATCAATATATCGATGCTCACTCGAACTTGCTGAGGTAGAGCGCTCAATCCAAAGTCAGACACTTTCAAAGCACCATTAGCATCCAAAAGCAAATTTTCTGGCTACAACCAGAATGTGCAACATGATTTTAACACATGAAACTTTTATTCTGATGCCAATTCATTCACAAGAACCCTATGTAAGAGATCACAAAGTAAGATTCCTAACCTTAAGGTCTCTATGATAAACTCCTCTGCTATGACAATAATCAACCGCATTAATAAGCTGTTGGAAATACTTCCTCGCCTCATCTTCCTTCAATCTCCCATTGCTTGACTAATACATACCAATTTAAAAGAATCAAGATCTCATTTCCACATAGTATTAAGAAAAAAAAACACATCTTTCAATGAAAGCTTACAATTTTATCGAAAAGCTCCCCACCAGTCACGAATTCCAAAACGAAGTAGATCTTAGTTTTGCTAGCCATCACCTGAAGAAGAAGAAGAAGAAGAGAATCTGTAACTACAAAGATACCAAAAGAATACATAGAATAATCAATCCCTAATATTATATACTCCATATGATTAGCCAGGGACCACAAATAACTTCAAACGAATCTCAGCTTATTGTACAAATCTATAGAAGAACAAGAAGAAGTTAGAATCATGCAAAATTCAGAATCAAACCTCAAACATACGAATCACATTTGGGTGCTTGATCAATTTCATAGTCGAAATCTCACGCTTGATCTACACAAAATCAAACACAGGATCAAAATTATAAAAGCTGCGTAAATCCAATTCCCAAAAAAACGAAGACAACAAGAGAAGATTTATAATACCTGAGCGATCATCTTATTTTTGAGAACTTTCTCTTTATCAATAACCTTAATAGCGACATTATCACCATTGACAACATTTCTAGCGAATTTGACCTTAGCGAAAGTTCCTTCACCCAAAGTTCTTCCAAGCTCATACTTACCAACTCGTGTCCTACCACCAGAAGAACTACCAGAAGGCGTTGATCGAGAAGGAGTCGATCGTGGTGTTGTTCGAGAAGCCATCTCTCTCGCTTGCTTTTATAGATAGATATATATATATATATATATATATAGATAGATCTCTATTGAATCAGGAAGAGGACCTCTTCTTCTTGCATGGCTGCCATACTTGCGATTTCGCAACGCTCATCGTGAGATCTGCAGAAGAATAAACCCTAAGGGACCGGAGACCATAAAAAAAAGCCGAAAATCAAAATTCAACTCTCGTGTGCGGAGAAAATTCAAACTGGACGAAGAAGACGACTCATGAAGACGATTGATTTCAAATCGAGATTTGGAAGTGAAGATTCTGGAAATTCGCAAATTTCGGCTGCTAGAAAAATCGAAGCCGGTTCTGGAGAAAAAGCGAGTAACAGACAGAGAGAGAGAGAGAGATTATGATTCGATGGTGGAAGGAATTTAAATGTTAAATTAGTAAGTAAATTGTTTTAAAATTAAATTAGGAAATGTTTTAATTAAATTCTGTTTAGGGATTATACGAGGAAGGTTACATCTGTGGGTTCTGACGTATGCTATAGTTTACATTTAAATTATTCTAGGATTATCTTAGTCTTTAAGATAATTTAATACAAGCGATGAAAAGGAAATTTGCATCAAGTAAAATAAAATAATATTTTCGAAAAAAACAAGGTGAAATTCATATTATATACAAAGATAAAGACGATTAATGGATTTATTAATGATTTTTTCATCTGCAATTTTCAAATAGTAACCAATATATGAACTATCTAGTATCTAGATTCTAGTGCTATTACTAATGGTATGTTTTTTTTTTTTTTTTTTTTTGTATTTGGTATAACATTAATAAGATAATTTTTGGTTAACTGTAAATATAAAATTAGGTATAATTTAATTAAAACCAAATTTTTGAATCCGTGTAACCATTAACTTGTGTGTGTGGTGATTTTATTGCTGTAAATGACTCATATATATATATACTAGGGGAGGTCCCCGCGCCCAGCGCGGGGTTGTATGTTGATTAAGACCAGAATTAATAATTAATATTTAGGGTTATCAAGTTAGGGATATTTATTGAATTAATTTTGTCAAGAGTCTAATTTTTATAACGACATTAATATAGAATTATGGTAAAACGCTATAACTTTTGATATATATTATTAGTAATCAACAATTAATAGTGTTTTTGAATCACAAACAATTATTAGTGTTTATATCTTGATATATATAATAGAATTAAATATAAAAAATCTATATATTTAAACCAACAATATATTAGCAACGTCCCGACCGCCACTGTCCATGGGTTCCCACGTCCAGTCTCGGTCTTTAGGCCCATCTTCTTTGTTTTGTCGTACTCTTGATTTTATGACATATTCATGCTTACTCGTTTCTTTCATATTAGCAACGCCCCGACCGCCACTGTCCGTGGGCTCCCCACGTCCAGTTTCGGTCTTTAGGCCCATCTTCTTTGTTTTGTCGTACTCTTGATTTTATGACATATTCATGCTTACTCGTTTCTTTCATATTTGTAATGCCACGACCGCCACTGTCTGTGGGTTCCCACATCCAGTTTCGTTCTTTGAGCACATCTTCTTGGTTTTGTAGTACTCTTGGTTTTATGACATATTCACGCTTCCTCGTTTCTTTCATATTTGTAATGCTCCGACCGCCACTGTCTGTGGGTTCCCCACGTCCAGTTTCGGACTTTAATTTGGGCCCATCTTCCTGGTTTTTGTTGTATTCTTGATTTTATGACATATTCATGCTTTTAGATTGTATGTCACTGGAGTTTTTCGTAGTTGGAAACAAATAATTGAAAAATATAATCTCTTACCATATCTCTTACCTATCAAGTAAGTCATCTTGCTCTTTGAAGTAGTTATGTACGTAAAATTTCAATGGTATAGAAACAGGCATCTCTTTTGTATATATCGTGTCATATTTATCGTCCCTATTGTAGTATCTTTGTCTCTACCTTCGTCATTGGTCGCTGCGTAACCCTTCAGTTGATCTCTTGTTTATAAAACCCATATAAAAAGTTGTAAGAGAAATATCATTTTCTTAACTGTATCGTATATGTATTTGTAGTATATTGATCTGAGATTGCAAAGATGTATGCCTATCAAGAAGCTCTTAGCAAAGTAAACACTGAAGATAGGTACTAAAAATGAGAGGATTACAGAGAGCAAGTATCTATCCCTTAGAAACCACTATGTGCAACTGAGAATAATTCATATATGTACATACATACACATGTATACAACGTATTGAAGCTTTTAAATTTAAATATCGAATGCTACAAAACTGGAAAATTGCTTGTGGAGAGAGCAATATGAACATGGCCACATATATAACAAATAACCGATTATGCTTGTCGTAGATCATTCTCTTTCAAACCAAAAGTTTTACCTAAACAACATATCAAGTGACTCACAAGAGATACATAAGAGCCATATCCTAAAAATATCCGGCAAAGCAAAAACGCTCCAGGTTCGAGAAGGAAGTCATTGGAAAATTTGAGTATATACCAAACTGGAGAGTAATTCGGCTACAAAGAGAGATGTGTTGGCTTTGAAGAAAAAGCTATGTGATGTTCTACCTTTTATTTATGAATTTTATGCTATGAATATATGTTTTTGTTAGGGTTCAACTTCAGTCTCCGGATTAGAGACTTATATTCATCCGACAAACAATTCGATGTCACAATCAACGCTACAAAATTGGTGGGTTCTCTCTATTAACAAACAAAAAAAAAATTCTGGGGTATATATATTTTTTTTTGTTTTGTTAGATCCATACGACGAAGAACATGACGAAGAACACCAAAAATTCTCATCAATCCGGTACGTTTGATCTTATTTTTATTAGTTTAACAATTACGGTTATGTCCGAATCTGAAATAACCATGGCTCCAGACTCCTTCACACCATGGCCACATATCACCGGAGTGGAGACGATTTCAAATTCGGAACTTCTCTTCGCATATAAAATCATACATATGGTCTCTTTGTTTCGGGTTCCCTCTACAATAATTAGTACATATTTCAAACTGAGCTACAAAAGAGCACATTGGATTTTGGTAAACATCAAGATTGCTTCCTACCTTCCAAGAAACATGATAGACTAATTCACATCCAAGACCAAACATTAGCCACATAAAGCCTGAATCAAATTAAACGATCTTAGGATACTCTTCATAATCCGTAAGTTAAAGAGACTTGCATTAATATTGCAAATTAGACTCTAGAGGTGCACAATGGTTAATCAGAGTGTATCAAAGACGACGAATAAAGCATGAATTAGAATATCAGCAGAGGAAGCACACAAATATTCAATAAACATAATCAATCACTGAGAATATCATGGACCCAACTTTTGAAAGATTCATAAAAAAAGAAGATTTTTCCTATGCAACAATATTCAAACAATGAGAAGATCAATGATTGATGACTAACCATACAACCGAAGCAAAGCCATAAACAGAAACGAAAGTACTAAAGAGCCACAACAGCAGTGATACGACATTTGCTTCCTCGCACTGGAAACAATGACGTGCTTCCATAAATCCAATCTAGTTTTTATGGAAAACAAACCTGCATTCATAATAAACACTACTATTAATTATTATTTTTTATGCAAGAATTAAATGGCAGTATAAAAAATTCAATGGTTAGTGCCGAAAAAAAAGCAAGGATTAGTTATGATATCAAATCAAAATTAAATATCAAGCAAGGTATTTACATAAAATTAAGGCAGTGGAGGATCTAAGAATTTTTTATATGACAATATCTACAACTAAACAAAGAAAATTTATATATTTTTAAAACAGAATCATTATTTGTTTTTTGGTAAGATTAAAACCGAATCATTGTCATATTAGTAAAATTATCATTTATTTATTATTATCCACGTTAATTTAAAAGTTTAAGAGAATATCTGCTTTTTTCTCATAAAAGGATGAGATAATAACATAACTCTTTTAAATTTATAACTATATTTGTCATTATCATATTAAATCTATTAAGATAAATATATTTCTTTTTGAAAAATATAAATAAAATGATAATATAATTATTATAGATTTACAATTATATTATTATCCATGTCAAAATTTTAAAACATTTTACTTTTTTCTCACATAGGAAGATAGAACAATAACGTAACAGTTTAAGATTTACAACATAAAAATAATATCAGAATTGGAACGCCAAATCGTAATCAACACAATTAACACAACTCTAATGGGAAATTAGAGTTATCTTGTGATTAAAATACTAAACAAACAAAACTAACCGAAACAAAACAAAAGTCTTCCTTTCAAAATCATTAACGTGACGGATTGCTGACTGATTAAGTTGAATTTTAGGCATTTAAAGATCTAGAAAGATGATTAAGGTTAAACATTTTTATTTATTTTAAACAACGTTTGAATGTTGACAAAAAAAGAAGAAGAGAGTGTTGGGACCATCGGGAGAGACAACGTTGAGCAGCTGCGAAAGAAGCCAACGTTGTCTAATATGTTCCTCACAGTGTTTGATTTGACTTTTGATGACATTACACTCATGTCCACTTGTTGTCTCGAAAGTTCATGCAATGGAAAATTATTAAACAAAACAATTTACTTTTATGTATAAATCCTAGGGAAGAACCGATCAAGCTAAGATCAATGGTTGTGGTTTTAGTACCGTATACTTCTCAAATATACCCGTTGAATAACGGAAATCCGCAAGACGGGGAGGAGACGAAGTCAACCTAGCTGGCAAAGGAGCTAACCCAGCTCCTTTGGTCTTATTTATGGTCATATGTATTTAGCAAAATATGGTATACAAACCGAACCAATCAACAACAAAACCTGGTTTTAAATTGTTGTATATTTCTCAAAAGTCAAAACCCATAATAACCAATGGAACAGAAGAAGCTAATGCAGAGCATACTTACGCTTGGAGTAAAGAGTGATGCAAGCTTCCATTGGCACACCCGAAAACGCATCAGAGCATGGAAAGAAACCTAAAAACCAATAAATTAAACAATAATTAAATCTTAGTGCATGGAAAACGAATCCTATACATACCAAAGTCCGAATCTCAGTGCCTTAGAATGACCTCGATACCAAAAACTTTAAGTTACTACTTCCATATATGTAATATATTAGTTTGGGGAGAGAGATTGGCAACGAAGAGTAATTCCTGAATTTAACAGCCAAGTTTGTTATCCCTAATCTAAAGAGAGGAATACTTAAATTGTATTAACGACAAAAATTAGCCTCCTCTGAAGATTCATCCCTGAAATAAGTCATCTTTCTGACTTTGTGACAACTGTGTTATCAAAAGTTGAGTGTTTCTTCTGAGAAAAGACATATTTGAAAATAATAAGAACATGTACCTCAACAAAATCGGGAGGTACCTCATCTTTTTACAACAAAAAGAAACATACCAAACCATCGATGA